AGAGACCAGATGGGGGTCGATCTCAGCCCACTTCTCGAAGGAGCGTCCTTGTCCAGGGTTCTTTCAGAGACATGGTCACGCGTGACGCCAGGTGAGAGGAATCTAATGATATTTAGGATTTGATACTGGGAGACGTAGATGAAATTAAGATCTATGCCCGATGCACGGTGCATCTTTCTTGTTTTGTTTTTCAAACATAGATTATGATTGTCGCTTCCTCTAATCCTCTTACGCGTCTCCTCCTTTATTCGTATACACATAGAGATAATTTCCATAACCCATGTTTTATTCCGTGATATAAGAACTCAACCCTTGGAAAGTTCACGAAAAAGGAGTCTAAGCGAATGAAATTACTGCCACCTCATATACGAAAGCAATCACCAAACGATCCTTTCAAAGGTAATTTCTGGCGGTCTTTAGTCGTTGGGATCCTTATCACGCTTTTAATACTTCTTTGCCTCTTTTACCCTATCAATTCAAGTCGTATCTCGCATGATCATTCGGTAATTCCTCTTGGTGACACACAGGGTGTGTTTGTTCGTTCGACAGGTCCTCGCGTGATTATTTTCGTTATGAGTGATAAAATAGGTGATGCCCTTTGCTATTCCGTTGGCTCAGCTTACTTAAGCGGACTGCCTGTGGTGGTGGCCGGCTATCAGATGCTGTTCGATGGATTTCTTTCGAAGGTAGACTTCATGGAAAGGGCCATCGAGAATGCGAAGTTGCAGCCAGAAGACGTGATCATTGCGTTGGGCTCAGACACAATCTTCACGGGTGCGGACCTTAACCCGTTCCTGGATCGCTTCATCGCACAGTCTGCTGCGACTCCCGAAAAGCTGGACGCGCTGGCGGTGCGGCAGGGCCGTGCGATGGCACCAGTTCTATTTAATGGTGAGATTAGTTGTTGGGCAGCGAATGCATTTGACGATTGGTATGACTGCAAACCTGGCTACGAGGATGCCTTCAACAAGGTCCGGGAGTACGCCGTGGCACACCCCGAGCATGAGCTTAGCTTACCTTTTGACCTAGTGCCACAGTGCCATCTAAGCTCAGGATCCGTGGTTGCCCGTGTGTGGGCGTACAGGGAGTACATACAGGCGGCTATCCATTTAAGAATAGCGCGATCCCCACTATTTCTTACTGAACGGGGATGGTTTTGCGATCAGGCCGTCTCTGCTGCTCTCTATCTGAATCTCATGACGTGGGAGGTCGAGGGTGACGTCTTCTCGATGCCATTGCCTGAGCGGCAGGCCGCACGCTCTCCTAACGGTGTTCGAGCAGGATTTCTCGGTTTAGATTACTCCAATGAGTTTTCAGTTTTTGGTGCACGAGAGCACATACACCAATCCGTGTTGCACGATGAGCACTGGGTGAAGTACCTGCCAGTGGATAAGTCTGAGAACCCGCACACACAGAGGATGACTAATTTCGTGAGCATAGGTCGTTTTGTGGGTGACCTTTACAAGCGAGCGTACGCTGCACACGGTGAGGGAATTTACACAAGACTGGCGGTCCCCATGTGGGTTGAAGGGAAAAGGGCTTCCGGGGCGGCCCGCATCGCCCTCACGCCACCACTCTTGGCACTCAAGCCCAGACCCATAGACATGACCAACAACACGACGCATAATGTGTTTCCAGTGATTTTTCACTCAGCAGGTACCGGGAAAGGGGCTGCGAAAGTAAAGAGAATGGAGTATGGTGCGATCAGTGCGCGCTGGCTTGTGCCGATGGCGCACGACACAAAGGCAAAGCGTCAGGCGATGGAGTACCTCGCATCTGTGCCGTTGTTTCTCTCAACGAATAACTCTATCATTCGGGATTCCTACCACGCCAAATGCGGCTTTCCATTTGAGAGAACGATTGAAAAGCTGAAGGGTCTTTGAAACAGAATGCGTTCCTTATATTACATACACTAGAGCACACCCCTTTGATGCACTATCTAGACTGCTTGACATGCTACCCTTAAAGGGAAAACTTCGTGGAACTATGCAATACAGAATCAATTTTGGTTAAAGATTGCGAAGGGAATGGCAAAAAGATTGTCTAGAGTCTTCCCCCATCGTGCACATTTGTATATGAATACAGAATCTTACATCAGCGTTGACATGGGAGTTAATTTTGTTCTTTTTCCCCCAACTCGCCCATCACTCATACAGAGGGTAGGTTTCCATGGGGAACTTTATCTACGTGCCTAATTGTAGCATAAAATTATTTATAAACTGCAGGGTAACATAGATATTTTTAATGTGTGGGGTGAATAGTTAGGAGATATGCATTAGCAGTTTGTCATGCATAGGGTAAAAACCAGATTTCTAAATTTGGTAATGATAACTCTAAGAGGATTATTGCTGATGCTTTTTTTCTTCAATGAAATCCTTTTGTTTTGTATTGACCATGGTGATTTTTAGGAAAGTTGCTGCACGTGTAAAGATGTGCACGGAGCGTATTTTCTCAGCTTACCTGACTCATGGATAGCATAAAATGACTGTGTGTGATGCTCAGTATCGGTAAGTGAAGGATGCTGGATCACGTCCCTAAAGAGGGATGCAAAGACTGTCTATGCTTTTTGCTTGATTTTGTAATTTTAATTTAGATAATCTTAACTGAACATGCTTTATCAATGATGTAAAGAGTGTCAATATACGATAAAGTAAATAAATAGGCTGGAACTTTAAATGAATCGATAAATTCGAATTTTATACCATGCCGTGTGACAGCCAAAAAAGGGGGGTACGAAGTCTAGGAACCCCTTCAATTGCAGCATTCCTTGGGAATTAATTCTACTTTCATCTAAGCTTCTCTTATATATTATTTTTTATTAGTGATTAAAGAAGAATCTAATAGCCTAATTTCGATGAAATCAACATGAATCAACTATTGCATTTTCGTTCTTTTTGCTTTCTAAATACCTAAACGTTTTTTCCCATTAATTGTTTTGAGTCAAAGGGACCGAATACCTCTTTTTAAAATTCAAACTAATTTCTGTCAGAAATCGTGTGTATTTAGTCGGCCTTTTAGTCCATGCGACGTGTCGAGGCTGGTTTGCAGCGTGGTGGCGCTGACATCGCACTAGGCAACATGCTTGCAGACATTCAGGAAGAGCTTCTTGCGCAGTATGGCCAGCCTCAACATCTATCATTCCTTGGTCTTTTGGCCACCGGAGGGCCAGACAGCACGTCCTTTGTCCCACCTCGCCAGTGCCCACCCGTGAGCAAGCGAAAGCGTAGAGATAAGCCGCTGAAAAGGAGCCGAACAACTGAAGTGCAGTTCGAAGCAGAAGACGGCTTACCGCTGTCATCATCTTCCTGCGGGCGGTACTTCGCGGCGGGATGTCAGGAGGAGGGAGGGGAGAAGAGCACAGAGGCACATTCTCAAAAAAGTAACACCTTGCATGACTGGTGTAGCCGCCTCTCACGGGCTCCTCGTATGCCGCGCATGGAGGGCGCTGCACTCGTTCATTGGACACAGGATGACTGGGCCTGTGCTCTGCACCCAATGGGTGAGCTGGGACCCTACTTGAAGTCTACCTCAGCTCCGTTCTCAGGGTTGGTGCATGGGGCTCAACCAGCGACACCAGCGGTGCCTGGTCTTCAACCAACCACCGAAACTTCTGGATTGGAGACGACCAGCGGTGATCAAGGTGATGCAGGCGCCCCGACAGTAAAGCACAGTGCCACCGCCAACGACGTATTGGTGTCTCCGCAATTTGACCCAGCGGTGGTGGTCAACTATGTAAAGTGCCGCTGTGCTGAGTTGCCAATGCGGTTGCGACTGGAGGCCTTGCAAATGCGCCGCCATGAGCACCTGCTTCGTCAGCACATGCAGGAACTAATCCGGTTCTCTGAGTTCCTGACGTTGTGTGGGGCGGTGCCATCCGGCGCCACATGGGAGAACACTACCGGCGGCTCGGCCGGTTCGAACTCTAGCGGACCGAGCAAGGCATCTCTTTGCCCATTTGCTAAGGCTTCTTCACTGCCTCCTGGGTACATGGACGCGGCAAAAAGGGACGGTGTTGAAGGCCTCCAGTTGTTATCACGATGCTTTCAACGTGTAGCAGAATTAGAACGACTCGTGACGCTGGACAGTACGAATAAAGTCTTGTGCGCTGAACGCATGGTCTTGCTTAGCGCCACGACTCTGGCGGCTGCTCGCCGAGTTGACTTGAATATTTGAGGTGCCGTGCG